TCGGTTTAGCCATAGTTATTCCTTTTTTTGAAAATATTTTATTTTATTTTCTATTTAATTTTATTCAATTTAATATTATTCTTTTAAAAAATTTTAAACACTTTTATTCTCTAAAAAAGGTCAATTTTAATTTTCTTATCTTTTAAAATTTTGTTAATTGGTTTTTCATTTTTGATATTTAATTAGAAATTAAAAAAAAATGTTAATTTAATTTATTGAATGTTGCCATTTTATATTAATTGGGATTTAATATGGATATGTATGATAAATCAATTCTTAATTTTAACCATCAACTACTATTTGTAAAGATTCAGAAAGTATTTGAATCAATATTATTGGAGATTATAATTCCAATAAAAAATTTAAAGGAATGAATCAATTTGACTAGATTGATCAGTAAATATTTAAACAATAGGTATCAGAATAATAATTTTCACGAAATTGAAATTAAAATATAATATCATTTTAAAATAATCCAAATAGAAAAAAAAATTGAGTATTTAGCTTTAAAATAGATATATAATGGATTTGAGATAAAAGTAATATAAATTCCAATTGAAATTCATTATGTGAATTAAAATTAAGTTGCATTTACTTATGAAGGATAAGTTTTAAGAATGTACTACATAAATAACCCTAATAAATTTAGTGAGAAAATTGATAGTTTTTATTTCTAAACAAAAATATTGGAAACTCTAGAATTAATAAAACATCTAAATTGGAAAATTGAATGTATAAAAGAATCAAACTAAATTGGAAAATGGATGATTCTTGGAATAATAATTAAACTATAAGTTCTGTTTATTATAGGAAATGAAAAAGTAAATTTAAATAGATCATTCGGTAATAGAAATAAGAAAATAATAAATAAGTTTATATAATTTTCAATATTTTGAAGAGAAAATAAAATTAGGAATATGGCAAGAAGCTATTGATAATTATTGAAGGTAATGGCTAATTCATACTAAAAGTAATATCTCATATATTGGAATATATTAAAACAATAAGCGGGATGGACTTTGGAAATAATGCTAGGAAAGTAATAAATGTATTTTAAATAATATTTCAGAGAGGTGGAGGAGAATATAATGAGTAAGGAATCAAATATTGTAAATGGATAGAACAGAGAGATGACTTTTGGATGTATAAATAACAAATTAATATCATAGAGAAAATTAAGTAACTTATAATGGTGAATAAATTGATGGTAAAAATATGGTTGATGGAATATTTTATATAGACAGAAATATATGTAACAATAATTAATATTTATAATATTAATATAATTTAGAGGTGGTGGAGTATATGATAAAGATGGATTAAAGAATGATAATTGGGTAGATTAATGTTTTTGAGTATGCAACTCATTTTTATATTAATATTCTAGTGGATGTTAATTCATTTTCACAGGAAAGTATAACAATGGTTTAAAGTGCGGGATTAGGAATTCTATTATTTGGCATCTTTGGAGATAGCAATTTGATTATATGTAAGCATAATTTGTGATAATATTTCTATTAATTAGTGATGGTGGATAGTATGAAGTATATCGATTAGTAAAAAAAAAAAGATAACAATGTTGTTATTGATTCTTTGTGCCTTTTTTAAATGTAAGAAAACATCATGTAAAGATATTTTGATATTTCTTATTACAGACTCTCAAAATTTGATTTTAAGTATTTTTTAAGTAGGCTAATTTTTCAGTGGCAATGTTTAAATATGATGGATGATTATAAATTTTTGGTTACTCTAGTATAATTTAAATTTTATTATTATAAGATATATTTCAATCCATAATTTGTAAATATATTCTTTTAAATATTTATATATAAGTTTCTTTCTACTAGTATTTCTAAATACTATTCAAAGATTAAGTTATTGGATTCAACATATAAAGAACATGTATTATCCATTTTTATTAGAAATACAATGTCAATTTTGATAAAGTTAAATTATCCATTTATTTTTTTCTATAGAAATCAGTCTTAAGTTTTTTTTGTGTTATGAAACTCATATAATAAGATCTATCTTTCAAATCCAGTTTTTGTGATAATAAATTAAAATATTTAAAAAATATCTGTTTTAGTAAATCAAAATTTTGTTTTATGAAATTCAACTTTTTTAGGAACGTAACTGTGTAAAAAAATTTTAAGAAAATATTATAAATAAGTTCTTGTGGTTAATATAATTAATTTCTTATCTTTTCCAATCCAAATAGTTTGGACATATTATATTTATATTTCGATAATAAATTTATGTCAAAAAATATTTTATTGTATTAATCTATTAAATTTAGTTTAAAATAGATGAAAGGTATCTTTAATTTTTATAGATTAGTGAAACTAAAAGATTCATATAAATATTCACCAAAAATTGACATTATCATAGTTTCGCTTACTGTAATTCTTGGGAGCTGAGCTGTTCTAAAAGCATAAATAAAAGTTATCGGATTCTCTATTAATATTAATTAGATTATTAATTTGAATATCTTAGAACCTGTTTTCTAAAGCTTTAATTGATTCTTCACATCTTCAGACTAATAATCATTACCAAAATAACTTTGCCATTTAAATATTCATCCATAATTTTGAGTACCAATATTCTCAAAGTCTGAAAGATTATAATTTTTTCTAATACAAGGGGGATTTATCTAAGTCCTAATGAAATAACTTTTTTATGTACATTAATGGCTACACTATTGATTGCAGTATTAATACTCTTACTTATATTTATATATTGTATATCTACATAAGAGTTTTCTTTATAATCCATCTTTTGTAGCTACATCTCATTTGATTTGTTAGCCTGATTTTAGCACTTCTTGTAGATGATCTGTCTACTCCAATTATTTATGCTTTTTTAACAATTGCTTAGAAATGTTATTTTACTTTATTTTTATCGCTCAAAGTTCCATAACAACATGCTTATTATTGATTATGATATACTAATATTTGATTATTTTCGATTAATATTCAGAAATTACTGATTAATTATTAATTGAAATATGAAAAGTTAGAAGATACTATTGAATTTTGGTTTATCATAATTAATTTAATCTAGATTAAATATTTCTAATGTTTAATCAATGCAATTCTAATTGTAAACATATTACTTAATTATGTGCATCTACATAATTGCGATATCTATCTTGAAATTTATTCATTTTATATTAGAACTTCACATAGTTCTTATACCAGTATAAGTCTTCAATACTCCAAATCCTGAATATAAAATATTAATAATATAGCAATTTTGATTCATTAACCTCTAAATACTTATTCAATATTATTACATTCATAATGAAAATCAAACTAAACATATTTAGTTTTTACTGTTTAAAGTATTCACAATTATATAAAAAACAATAATTTAGAATATAATAATAATTAAATTCTTCTCTTTATCATTTATTAAGTATTTAATAGAGAATTATTATTATTCTTTATCTAATTGATGAGGAAAATCAAATTCATAACTTAAATATTGATTCATCTATATAAATGATGTCAAGTTTATATATATAGCATTACTCATTTCATATCTCATTCAAAACTTATCTTAGCTATTTATAATATTGTTTTTTGCAATATTTAACCAACAAAATCAACTTCTGTTCCTAATAACAAATATGACTAATTCTGTAGTCATATTATTCCATAAAGTGCAAATAATCTTAATATAAATTATGTCTTAATTTTTGCTAGTACTTCATTGAATCATTTCTCCTTACTGTCAATTAGTTTTTAATTGTTTTGGTCTTACAAAAATTATTTTTTAATCATATTTAAAATCTGATTTTTTCTTGCAAAATCGAATCCCCTTATGCAAAACTAAAAAGTCAATTTTTGAACCCTAATCAGAATTTTTCTATCCTATTTCTTATTTTTCCTTGTAATAGAGTCTGATATGATAGAATATATGTTGAGTGTTCTGATTAGCTTCGCATTAAGTTCAGCTACTACTATCTACATTATTATAAAAGTATTTTATTTTAGAATTTATATTCTGTTTAATAGATATTCTCAATCAGAATTTATTCTTTCCAAATGTGTATTCTATAACTAGCCAATTATAGTTTCTAACTTTAGTTTCCTACTTGCTCTGATTTGAATTGAAAATTTGTTCACATAAACTATTTACCATTCCTTTCCTTACAATCCCATAATAATCTAAACAATTTGGTTCCCTTCTCAAGTCATATTTTTTCCTACCTAGATGATACATATATCAAATTTGATATTCAAAATTTTTATCTAAACAATTATGGATTTAGATTATTCATATTCCAACTAAAAAACAAAAATTAGTTTTAGCACGGTTTTCTGGAATTGGTCTCCATTCCTTACCTCCTTAAATCGAATTACTTCTCCCATTATTATTGAGCACCCTCTATGTCAATGTCAACACTCGCCTCATGTTCATGAAACACAAATTAAGTAAATGAGGTCGGGTAGGACAGTCTTTAGATGACTCCAATTATTTTAAATAATAAAATTAATGAAAATAATAAGTTTAATACTTCTTATTTATTTACATAAAAAGTTCATTTATAAAGAGAAATTATATAAAAAGAGTTGAAATATTATAAGATAATTCAAATAATAACAAATAATGTTAAACTGATATATTTATTGATGAAGAATTAAAAACTAATAAACAATCTCCTAATTAATAAAAAGTTGAAATTTTACCTTAATAATAGATATCATAAAGTATGATTATATTAATAAGTCTCTCTTATTTTAAATTGAAATTGATACTTATTTTTAACATTCCCCTAAATTTATATAATTAAATAGAACCTATTCCAAATTATGCTTCTTATTTATTTAAGTTTAATGAAATAAATTTTTCATATTAATATTAAGCTTACTAATAAGACTTTTAATTTCTTAAGCTTTAATTTAACTAATACTTATTTAAGATATTACCTATCTATTAAAATAAGTAAATACCTATTTTCAATAAAGAGAGTTCATATTTTGGATTAATTTTTAGTATATTTTTGTGTATCTATAAAGCATTTTTACCTTATTCAGTTGATTTATAAAAGTATTCATTTATTGATCTTTATAATGAATTTGCTGAAAATAATTAATAGTTTTAACCTTTTTAGTATATAATCCTTATATTATAGAGGTTAGTTAAGAATAACCTATAAAAAAAATTGCATTGATACATAATTTAAAGAAATACCTAAAAGAAAGTAAAGATTAATCGACACCTTTTTGATATTCATATTTATTTAATTTAATATATTTATAAGTGATCCAATATTCGATGAGATTTATGATAAAACACAAATATATCTTTAATAAAAAGGAAATTCTTTATAATTCGAATTAAACAAAAAGATTATCTAAGATTTTCTGAAATTTCTTCAGATATCCCCAAAGCTTTTCAAATGATTATATAGTTTCATATTTTCATCAAACGGTAAACTAATGCTTTTTTAGAATAAAAAAATAAAACTAAATGAAATATATTAATGAGACTTATGAACCAAGAATTGACGTTCAACTCTTAGCATATTTATATTAGATAGATAAATTAATCGATTAATCTTGGTTCTTAAAATAAATTTCATTCAATATTAAATATTTTCTCTTTCAATATATAATTGGTTTATTTAATTTCCTTAATCGTGAAATCATTAGTAAAATATTTCTTAATCACTAATTATTAACCATATTTAGAGATATTTTTAATTCATGTATGGGATTTATTAATGATTTCAAAATGTCAAATTTTCATTTGATATTATATATAGATATGCAATTCTTTAATAGAATTTCTGTAATTTATTCTTTTGTACTCATTATTTTTNAACATTCCCCTAAATTTATATAATTAAATAGAACCTATTCCAAATTATGCTTCTTATTTATTTAAGTTTAATGAAATAAATTTTTCATATTAATATTAAGCTTACTAATAAGACTTTTAATTTCTTAAGCTTTAATTTAACTAATACTTATTTAAGATATTACCTATCTATTAAAATAAGTAAATACCTATTTTCAATAAAGAGAGTTCATATTTTGGATTAATTTTTAGTATATTTTTGTGTATCTATAAAGCATTTTTACCTTATTCAGTTGATTTATAAAAGTATTCATTTATTGATCTTTATAATGAATTTGCTGAAAATAATTAATAGTTTTAACCTTTTTAGTATATAATCCTTATATTATAGAGGTTAGTTAAGAATAACCTATAAAAAAAATTGCATTGATACATAATTTAAAGAAATACCTAAAAGAAAGTAAAGATTAATCGACACCTTTTTGATATTCATATTTATTTAATTTAATATATTTATAAGTGATCCAATATTCGATGAGATTTATGATAAAACACAAATATATCTTTAATAAAAAGGAAATTCTTTATAATTCGAATTAAACAAAAAGATTATCTAAGATTTTCTGAAATTTCTTCAGATATCCCCAAAGCTTTTCAAATGATTATATAGTTTCATATTTTCATCAAACGGTAAACTAATGCTTTTTTAGAATAAAAAAATAAAACTAAATGAAATATATTAATGAGACTTATGAACCAAGAATTGACGTTCAACTCTTAGCATATTTATATTAGATAGATAAATTAATCGATTAATCTTGGTTCTTAAAATAAATTTCATTCAATATTAAATATTTTCTCTTTCAATATATAATTGGTTTATTTAATTTCCTTAATCGTGAAATCATTAGTAAAATATTTCTTAATCACTAATTATTAACCATATTTAGAGATATTTTTAATTCATGTATGGGATTTATTAATGATTTCAAAATGTCAAATTTTCATTTGATATTATATATAGATATGCAATTCTTTAATAGAATTTCTGTAATTTATTCTTTTGTACTCATTATTTTTTCAAAGTTTAATTCCTCACTTTAATTTTAAAATTAATTTTTATTATATAGATTTTATTGATATTACGATTGGCGATTGTTAATTTAAAAACGCAACATTTTGATTGCACTAAATAAAAATCATTTCTATCTATCAATATAATTAGATTAAAATTATTTAAAACTATGTATTACCAAAAGTCATATTTTAGCAGTATTTATTAAGATTGGCCAATTAATTTGCAATGATAACTTATTTTTTATTATAGCAATTTTCTTTATTCACATATTACACTTCAATACTTAGAATATTGAATCCTTTCTTTTATTAAACTTCCTTTGAATTTTCTCTTTAAGTCCTCTACACAGCGGTTCATTTCAATAATTTCCTCTAATCAAGTATTATTAAATCGAAGCATAGATCAAATAAGAAAAGTTGTAAATGAAAAAGTTCATGAACCCAGTTCTTAAAAAGCATCAATTTATTGTTTAATTAGGGTTCAATTATTTATGTTTTCTTTACTCTTATATGGAGAGGACTTCCCAGACAATTATGTTTAGGTCAGGGATGCAAGATACCTTAATAAGTTTAGGGATTACCTCTCGAAATGCCTTGAGGTGTATTAAATAGCCATAAAACAAATAGCTGTCCCGATAAAATATAGCCAGAAATTAAGATATTGAATTGATTATTTTATCTCTAGTTTCATGAAAAGGAATAAAAATAATAGTAGCATTCAAAACATAAAGCTATTCATATACAATCAAGGGAATAAAGTTAATATATACTAAAAACTAGGAATTTATATATCGGATTTTCAAATATCAGAATTTGTAGCCTTTCTACCAGATTATAAACAATATATAGTCCCTAAAGATAGCTATTCTAACTATTTTCTTCTCATTTAACATTACACCTTAATAAATTGTCTAAGTTATAAACACATCCTAAATTCTGAGAACAAGCTTATAAAGAGGCATTGATAAGTACAAATATTTTTTAAATAGAACTATATAGTCGTTCAATTATCATAATGAAATGACCTATACCAATAATAAGTCTAAACTTTTCTTAAATCGGACCATTTGGCTGCATTTTAAATAAATATATCAACAACCTAATAGAGAAAAGGTAATCCGGTTTTTACACCATTTCAAAATTAAGGTCGAATTAAAATTCTTCATAAAAAAGTTTTCTAAATTTAAGATCTACTAGGTCATAAGAAACAGCTTTTTAATTTGTTAAAATTTATTTAAATATATCTTTGCCAAATTAGATATAATAATTAGCAGGTAGTTCTTTACACCAAAAAGAGGCTCGCTCTTCTTAGATTTTGAATTTATCTTTTACCATTATTTTCATTATTATCTTTTTATCATGGCTGTTTTAAATAATTTAATTATACTCCAATTTAATCTCACTAATCCTGCTTGTTTTTTATATAATTGATCTATCGATTTCTACTGGAATATGCTTGGAGTCATTTTTTGTTTTTATTTTCATAATAATCAACATAAATAATAAATTAGATAAAACCTATTCCTTCAATTTTATATGTTAAATTAAATACCTATTCCTTAAAAGTCTTGGATATTTTTAATGATTCAACTCCTTTTCAATTAATTATCAAGATTTTATTTTCTTTGCATATCTTGTTCTTCTATTTTATATGGGTTTTTAGTAACTCCTTTATTTCTTAATTGAGCTAATTTCCTTTCAAAACTCTTTGTGAATCGAATATTTGTAGAATTGCAGTCTATTCGTTTTTTAGTTTCAGTTTAGTTCATAATTAAACAATAAATCATAAGAATATTAATTATTTTTACTCATGCTTTGGATACAAAAAGTATAATTAAATCCAACAGTCACAAACTTTCTATTAAATGTTTAGATATGTTTTTATTAATATTACAGTTTATACTCCTTATTACTATAACAAAAATAGAATGTTTATTTTACTTCATGATAGAGAAAAAATCAAACATATAATTACGATAAAAAGTTCAAATATAAAAGTATATTATCATTTTAATATTATATTTTCGTTCACTTATCTCATTATATACATTTCTTTTCCTAACTTTTTAAGTGAATTTAGGAGTTATTAATCTTTAACCATATCGAATTAATGTTATGTTTGAAATTTTAATTATAATAATAAAGGAATGAAAGAATAATATGTAAAATATTTGATTTGCTTTCTAAAAAAAGGAGATAGATTCTAGGTATAAATGATTCTAATTTTAGTGATTAAAAAAAGATAATCCTACCAAAATGCTAAATCAAAGTAAATTAAATTTTATTAAATATCTCATACTAAGTTGAACTTATAATTTTATTAAATTTTCCTTTTTTTGATTTTTTCCATCATAAGCAGGGTAGAAAAAATATTCTTGCAAAATAATGATTAGTCCCACAGATTATAAAGTGGAATACACTGGTTATGTAGGTAATCTGTGCCATTTTGTATCCAAAGATTTTGGACTCATGAAAAGTTCCAGAACTTCTTCGAGCACTGACGACTTGAACCTAAACTGAGATTACCATTCAGGTAAAATCAGGGAAACTAACTCTTACCCCTTCCTGCCATGTTTGAATGGCTTTCAAGTCTCTAGCCTGGAAATTACTCGGCTTCTCCAATCAAACCCTTTCATAAATTCCCTCGATAATGTTCCTGAAAGATCTCAAAAACCCGGATTATTTTTATTTTAAGAAAACAATAACTAATTAAGGCAAAATATAAACAATTATTCTTAAATAATTTTTATCCTTTTTTATTTAAAAAATAAAGGAATAGATAAGTAATCCTTGTAATTTATAATATGGAGAATAACACAAAAATTGCCTTTAGATATTTTAACTACTGATTAGATTTTTTATTTAGGTGTTGAAATAATAAATTTTTAACCTTCTTCTTTATAATTGTTTTTGCTATAGGAAATATTTTTGAAAATAAATCTAGGTGATTGTGTCTTTTTGTGATTCTTAGTTAGTTCTTAATTCGTTTAAAGAATTATAAACTTAATATTTAAAATTAACGAGTAAGAAAATAAAAATAATAACATAAAATTTTAAAGAATATAATATTATTTTTTGATTTTTATTTAATTTACTATTTATCTAATTCTTCTCTGAATCTCCTAATGTATATTTCATATGATGATTCATCCAAAGTAATCATATATTCTCCATTGACAATTAATTATCCAAATAAAACATTTGTATCAAATTGAATAGATTTCTCAATTTTAAATTCAGCATGTTCTGTTATTCCTTTTAAATTTACATATATATCATGCTTTTTCACAAGTAATTATTTTTAGTTAATAAATAATTATGGAAATAAGCAATTACCTTCATTACCTTGATTTAAACCAATATCTTTTGATTTAACAAACTATTTACTTACACTATTCATCTCATAGACATACATCAAAATACCAGACTAAGGTTGAAATGTGAATAGATTATCGTTGAGAAAGCACAATCGATTTCCTAGACAATCAACTATTATTATTATTTTACAAAACAATTTTTATTACGTTCTGATTACTCAATTACTAATATCAATCCATCATTTCCATAAGATATAACTTGATTTTGTTATTCATTTAAACTTAATGGAGAAACCAAACTACTATGGTCTAATTATTTATTTACAGATCAATTAATTTTGCTTATCCAAAACTTAATAGTTATATCAGTACTACTTGATATAAACAGATCTTCATTATTATTCAAAATTAAGCTACTAATATAAGAACTATGACCTTAAATAGTTTATGAGCAAATCCATGAATTATTATCATTATTTAATTGCCAAATCAAAATAAATTATTGATCTTATAAAAGGAGGACTAGAATATTACAAATAATAAATTAATACATCTAATAGCTTCTCTATTTCTTACATATGATATTTAATTATCTATTTACTACTTAATCTCTTGATATTTTTCTAATTCTATAAATTTTTTATAAAATAAATATAATTTTTATTTAAATAAACATTTTATTGAATATGTAATTATATGATATTAGATAAAAGTTAAGAGCCTAAATTTAATAGCAAATAAATATTAAATCAATCTACTTTTAAGGTATTATTACATGATGATTTAACTCCAAAGTCTAATATTAGTAGAATAAAAAACGCAATAACATTAAATAACCATACAAGAAATAAGATTATCCATTAAATTTATTACGGAAACAAAGTATAGAAAGCCTAGTATATAGAATGCTATATATTTTAGAAAAACCTTCTGTAGCAACGCACTTAATTCTAAAAGTAAATAAAAGAACAATTATAATTCAAAATTAATTAAGAGCAAATTGCATTAATATGTTCTTTAAATAAATTACATTTAAATTCAAATCATAATAAATTATCAATTTAGACAGTATTCTTGGGCTTTTTTTAAATTTAATAAGAAGATATTGTTGATAATTAAACCTTTTATATTGACTTAAAATGGTGCTTGAATTATTAAATATATTCAAAAATTATTAAAAAAAATAAGTAATCCAAATTCTTGAAATTGTGCCAGTAGATTGGATGAAAGTTAGATTCTAGGGAGACCTTCGCTATTGCCAGACTTGACAGAAGGGTTTAGTTTAAAATTTTACATTATATAATACATAGAGAAGATAAAAGAAATGAATTGATTAATCCGTACTAAAACAAATGAATCCTAATTGAAATGTCTTGCTATTCCTTCTGAAAATATAAATCATATAAATTATATTTACTTCCAAAAAAGTAAATCTAAAATTAAAATAATCTATCAACATTATAGACATCAAAATACTTTTTTGTTTTAAGCTAAACTACTTTTAATTTACAAAGATAAAAAAATAATGATCTCTATATTTTTTATCTGATTTTACTAAAATCCTCTTCATCATAGAACTACTACCATCTCATACCTTTTAAAAAGAATTACTTCATTACATCTTCTTTCTTCTTCTCATTTTGATTTTTGTAAAATTTTCTTGAATTCGTTACTCCAAGACTACCTCCTCTTTCACTAAGTCCAAGCTCAAAAATTTTCTTTATTAGTTTCATATATTAAATATTGATTTATTTAATTTTATAATCTCTTCCAATTTATTTGATAGAAATACCTATTCCTACTAGGTTACCTTCACTATTTTCTATTTCCTCTTATATTATCTGTATGCTCCTTTCAATTACTTTTTATAACAATCATATCAAATGCCTAATAATTTTTTTCACTTAATTCTTGGATCAGGAAAGATAAGTGAATATTAGTTTTGATTGATTTTAGTCATTAAGCTTCTTATTTTGAATATTCTCTTTAGTTATTCTTGTTATTAAATACATCAAATTTTGATTTAATTTATATACTATAATTAATAAAATAATCTCACTAAAGAGTGATAAAATCTGAATGTTTTTTAGAATTATTAAATGGTACATGCATTTCAATTACCAATAATTAACAAGAAGGCTATTTAATCTAGTAGAATAAAAATATTTAGTTGGATATGTTAACCAAGGCTTATGTTTTGAATTTGGCTTAGAAATGATATTAAAACGGGATTTTCTTTTTTCTATAAAATTAGTCCATTTAAGAAGCCAGTGAAAATAAATGAATTTAAAAGAATTATATGTGTGTTAATGTTAATAATAATTAACTTAACTTCTGCTAATCAATTTTCTTTATTTAATTTAAATGTGGGATTTCTTTTAGTGAAAGAAAATAACTTTAGTCTTGAAAAAAAAACTAATAAATAGTCTCAAAAGCCTCATATCCTATAGATATAGTTGCATATCTTACCCCAACTATGTATTTTTCTATTTACATATACATCTCTTGATATTAGTAATTTCTAAGAAAATGAGTTTTTGAGTTAAACTCCGGCCATGTATCAATACTTTAAATCATCTCTCCTAACCCTAAGACTTTTACTTATCGCCAAAGAAAAAAATTATTAAATTTTAAATTGATGTAAAAAATGTTAATGTTCTAATTAGAAATATGAAAATGCAAAATAATACTTAAAAATATTAATTTTTTTCATATTTCAACAACAATTAAATAAATGTATTATTCTAAACATAATTATTAATTGATCTATGGTTTATGAAATATTTATATTTTTTATTCTACATTATCAATAATCCAAATAATTATTTATTATTCGATCTTAAAAATGGAGTCTTAAAAGTTAAAATCTTTCGATTTGATCAAAATCTTTGAAAGATAGATCTAATTACTTCTATGAATCTGATTCTCCAGTAAAAATATACAATTAGGCTTTTGTTGCTGTTTCTGATTACAATGAGGATAAACTAATTGTTATAGATTTATTAAAAGGGAAATTAATAAGAAAGTGCAAATTACAGAAAGACGAGATAAGTATTAATGATTTCTTATATATTTTATCACCGTCAAAAAGAAAAAGTGATTTTGAAATTATGGAACCTTTATTAGAAAAGAGATCTAAATAGATAATTTTTAATTTATTAGAGTAATAGAGAAAAAAGTCGAAAAAGCAAGATTAACTAAAGAGAAAATAGAAAACAGATACATAAATATGAATTAGAAGCTCAAAATTTTTAAATTATTTAGTTATCAGTCGAAATTAGGAATTTTATAAAATATTAATAGAAATATTAATTATAATCATTAATCTATTGTAACATAAAAGTATTCTATTATTATATCCGATTTTTATTATTTAGTTTTTTCATTCATGCATTTTCTCCAAACATAAGCATAATTTTCTTAATCTTGAATTTTATAATCAATACGCAGATATGTAAATTATAAAACATATTTCTACCCCAAAAAATTATGAATATAGCAATTATAATTTATTATTAATTGCTTATTCTTCACATAAGACTATGTAATTATTGATTGGTTTTTGTAACATAAGAATATTCTTAATAATTACTGTAATTCATATTTAAGCAGGTATTTTTTTTTAATGTCTATAATATTCAATATTTTTTACTCCATTTCCTCTCCAAGATATCTTTTTCATTTTGAAGGAAGAGCTAATAATTTGATTTAGCCTTCTTCTCATTTCTTTCATAATACATTTCTTAAATATTCTAAATCTGTTTAAAACAGATTTATTAAACCAGTCAATTTACTAATTTTCTTTACTTTAATTTGGATACTTTTGAAAAGTAATTAATTTTTAGGGAAAGTTTAATTTTGTAAAATGAAACAGTAATAATTAATTTGAGAAATCACAAAATAATCTTAAAAAAACCATAAAAATGAGCAAATCTGTCCAGTTCAAAATTTGGAAAAAAATTTTGAAGAAATTTTACACTATATCTAGGCCAACAATCTTTTTAAACATTGAGTAATAATACAATGATATAATTTTTGATACTTTTTTTCAATTAATAATATGTAAACCAAGAAATCTTAGAATCAAAATTATTTGCTTTTAATAATTAAGTAAAGTATTCTATTTGATTTACAGCCCATATATTCTTATTAAGATACATGTTTTTTTTTAATTTATTTGATTTATACTAATTACTCGATCATTAAGCATTAGAAAGTCTTCTTTTATTTTAAAAAGATAGATTTAAGATCCAATTTTATACAATAACGCAAATTTTGATCTAATAACTTTCTAAGAAAAAATGAAAATACAGTAAGCTACTCTTTTTCAGTGGATTATATTATGTTGTGAGAAACTATCTGCAACTTTCTTTTCTTGAATATAGCTCCTTTACTTTCTAATTTATGGTTGAAAAGTGAAAAGTACATCATCATTTTAGAGTCTAAGCCTACTCCGATTAATTTTTACGAATCTAATTTACTTCATTCAATAAAATCATAGTCTCTTGAAATATGCATGAAATCAACTAATTTTTCGATTGATTTAATGATAATGAATTAATTTCCTAATTATGATAGGTTAAAGTTTATAAAGAAACCAATTTAACAACTTTTTTTTTATGATATTTTTATAAGCTCCTCTAATACTTAAATTTTCCTTATTGACACAACCAAGCAACAAATATATCCTGAATAGCCATCAAGTTATTATTAACACATGCCCATTTTCTCACTATATCCAACCTATTAACAAAAAACTAAAAATTATCTCCTTCCCGAGAAAAATAATTGAATGCTTTTTCATGATATATCTATATGTTATTCAATCTTGATGATGATTTAATGATTGGATTAATTTCAGTTTTCCATTTTCAAATTTAAATACTTTGATTAATTTACTCCTGTATGCTTATATCATCATATTTTAATTAAAGGCTATTACACAAATTGTATCTTATTTAATAAATTTTTCTTTTGAATACCACAACTTAATTTTTATAGATTTTACTTCCTAATGTCTTTATATTGATAAAATTTTCTATTGTGAATTTTCAATATTAATCTCTGACTCTCAATTTCTTCCTCAAATATTTACTTGTTATTAATTGAAAATGTTTGCAAAAAAAAAAATTAGAAATTCCTACTCTAATTAATATCAGTTTTTTTTAAAGGATTACTATTTTTTAGATATTAAATTTTTATTTAAAGTATTTGAATTTAGGCTTAGTGAATTGTTTTAATTATATTTCTAATAATCTTAAGGTGAATGGATTATTAGAACTACTAATTAAAGAAAGCTTAAATTTTGAAGATTTAATCAAATAAATAATACTAGATATTTCGTCCAAACTTCTAGATTCTGAGTCAGTATAGAAATTAAAATTGTCCCAATTTTGGAAGTAATCACGAATCAATGATTATCAATTTTGAACATCATTGTTGAAGGAGTAATGATTGAACCATACATAAATTTAATTTAACTTGTACAATTAGTGGGATTGAAATAGAGAATAATAAATTACTTTTCCAAGTTGGGTAAATATTTTGAGTTATTCATCTTTAAAAAGAAATAATAATTCAACAGAGCCTAATAAACGAATGGAATCGAAAGATTCTAATGTTCTATTTCCTTGATAAAAGTTCATTGGCAATCTCTTCTAAATTCTTTAAGAAAAATAAAGTTAAAATAGGTTATTTATTATAAAACTTCATGAAAATTTAGCTTTTTTAATTAAAAGAAAATAAAATTAGGATTTGAATTAGATAAGTTACCAGATAGGTAAGGTTGATTAACTTTCTTTAAGAGAATTGCTGTGGCTTTAAATTAATTGGAGAAAGTGATTCTGTATTTGGGTTTTCAAATGACTTTTTAGAGTATTATTAGTATATGGTATAAGAATCCTTAACTCCTTAAATACATTAAAGAACAAAAGGCTTCTATGTTATTTAAAAGAGTAGAATGAAATTCTGTTAAATTGAATTTAAAAAACTATTCAAATTACCAAACAACAAATAGGGCATTCGATAAAATCGATATTATATTATAGAATTTATTATCCATTTGCTAGCTGTTAAAAGAAATGCTAAGGCGACGGAACATTTGAACATTTGAAGTTGATATAAGAGGGGAATAAATTTTAAGTGATAATATAAACCAAAATAATTTAGCAAATCACAACATTAACTAGAAATCTTGGTAAAATCAAATTGATTAAAATATTAGGATAATAAGTTTAATGAATGAAAATATTAACGCAGAATCAAATTAACATAATTTAAAGAGAATGAACTTATATTTAAGAGTTTAAATTAAATAATGCATGCTGAGAGAATCTCATTTTATAAATTTAATTGAATACTGATTAGGTGATTAGGTACTCTGTTTTTTGATAACGTATGAACTATCTAATGAGTAAAGTACATTTTCTTAATTAATTTCTGGGTTTATTTGAAAAATCTTCCATAACAGTAGGTTAATTTTCTGAAAATTATTATTATCTTGAATTTTATTAATCTTGCAATTAATTAAAGATGAGAATATTATTCTCTGTTGATTCTTTTTTTAGAAAATCAACTTATCTTTTAAAATGAAATCGTCAATATTTCCATAAGTGAGTATTTTTAAGTTGTGTAGAGGTCATGAATTTGCATTCTTCACTATTTTAATTGATTATACAGATTTACTAATATTAGGATAATTTCTAACCATTAGTGTAAGATTTTGATTAATCTCTAGAAATATTTTAAATTCTATTCAACTCTTAATTTCTGATTTTTTTTCTAAACTTTTTCTCTTTTGCTCTATATAAGGTGAGAGTTTGTATGTTATTAATCTTAGTTAGATTATTCATTAGATTCTTTTGATATAAAAATATCAAATTCAATATTTTATATCTTTACAAACTCAAACATTAAAAATTATAACTAATATTAAATTAAAATGTAAATCCAAATACTAAATATATAAAAGGTCAATAAAAATTTGTGAAGCTTATCCTATCATAACATTTTAGATATTTTAAGATGAATAAAGTTGTTTTACTTTTCTTGTAATTTGAATAAATATATTTTCCTACTTTACTTTCGATTATGCCTGGAAGAGAATTGTCTTACAATAGGAGAGTTTTAAATTATGCTAAAAAATATCTTATTAACGATTATCCGTAAGCTGTAAATGTTTAAATGTTTAAATGTTTAATAATACTCATTTCCTAACCAAAATTCCATTACAAGAATGGAATTCCTAATTTGGATA